GCAACAGGTGACGGCTCTGAATCACGGAATCCCAGAATATTTAGGGTTGGAAGGGACCTCTGCAGATCATCCAGTCCAATATCCCTRCCAAGGCAGGRTTACCCGGAGCAGGTGRCAGGAACGCRTCCAGGTGGGGTTAGAATGTCTCCTGAGTAGGGAGATTCCATGCCCTCCCTGGACACCTGTTCCACTGCTCAGCCACCCTCAACATAAAGAAGTTCTTCCTCATGTTGAGGTGAAACGTTGTSTTTTAGTTTATGGCTATTGCTCCTCATCCTRTTGCTGCRCACCACCAAAAAGATCCTTTTCRGTGGTACCCAGCAACAGGATGAGAAGCAAYGGCCATAAACTAAAACATTTCCTCAACACGAGGAAGAGCTTTTCATGAGGGTGCCCGAGCACAGGAACAGGATGCCCAGGGAGATCGTGGATTCTCTCTACTTGAAGACATTCCAAATTCACCTGGATGCATTCTTACCCATTCTGGGTGACCCCGCATCGGTAGGGATGTTGCATTGGATAATCTACAACCCCTCCAACAATTTTGTGATTCGGTGAAAAGAGTGTCACCATCCTCTCGGCACCTGCCTTTGAGATATTGGTATGGGTTGATGGGATCCCCTCTCAGCCTTCCCTTCTACAGCTCCCAGAGAAGGAGCTCTCCTCATCAGAGAGATGCTCCAGACCCCTCATCATCTCTGTGGCCTCTGCTGGACCCCCTCCTTGTCCTTCTTGTCCTGAGGAGCMCAGAMCTGGACACAGCACTCCAGATGTGCTTCACTAGGGCTGAGTGGCAAGATTCCCTCCCTGACCTGCTGATTTTTCCAAGGCTGCATCCCAAGATGCATCTCACACATGTGGCTCCTCTGGAGCTGTCTCAGGTGGGGCCGAGAGCTGCTACTCCTGGGGCACCAGGAAGGAGGGAATTGTCTGTACCTCCAGTGTCCTATCCAAAACTCGACACCTGTTTGCAGGTTTAATRATTAACCCAGAAATCTGGCATGCTCTGTGATTGCTGCCCTGATGCTGCCTGCTCCAGCTTCATCAGTGCTCCACTGCTTCCCAAAACCAGGGAATTCTCCCTGCTCAAGTAATGACCTCCTGAATAACTCCCCATACCAGCTAAACAGCCTCAGTGGGGTTTAAAACACCTGAAAAAACAAGATTAGTACAAGTCAGGTGAGCCACAGCACTGAACCCCTCAGGGTTGTGACCACCAGCCCTTGAGGTGCTCCCTGGACATRGAATGGCTGATGATCCATGAGGGCTGGAGATCCATGAGTTGCTGGCACAATYATGGACATCACCCAGGAGCTGCTGGGAAGCAGCGGTGATGGGAACTAGCTGTGCTGCACTGAGCAGGGCRTTTAGCTCACGGGGTGTACCTTGCCATGGCCATGTCCCCTTGTGCTCACAGACAATAAATTTGTCTTCTCTTAAAGAGAAAACACTTCCAGCCATATGCCATTAAATAAAAGGCCKAGGGACTTTTTGCCTTTTTAAGCAGTTTACACTATTTTAGCRAGTCTTCCCTTGTGCACCCCCTGGGTTCTGTTTAACCAACAGCTCTCTGCTGACKCACCAGAAAGTCAGAAGTCAAAACATTTTATAAATAATAAATGYCGAGCCCATTTAYTTGCCTTTTTTAACCTGTAGGGMTGGTRTTTTCCAAGTGGAAACATCAAATTCTGTTTTAAAATKAAATGAAAACTGAGGTTCTCATTAGGATCTGAGATTCTCTYGGATTCCCTGACAGCAGCTAATGAACATCTGAGGGAGAAACCAGTTTTACCAGACCAGTAACAAACTGCAGTGTCTGGCAACACTTCCATGCTATTATTCAGCATATCTATGCATAAAAAACACTACGTAGGGGTACACAAATAGTACTTAAAAAAAACAAACCACAAAAGTGACAATCTGTCTCAAGAAATCTGAAACATGAAGGCTCAGTCCTGTAAGATGTTGAGTGTGATGACTGAAGTCTATACTTCATGCATTATAAATTTAATTAATTCGATAAACATTACATAAATATTGAGACATCCCAACTGCCACAGCAGTCAGAACCCTATTTCTCTATAGGGTGAGGTTAACCCACCCTTATGTTGAAAACAGCCACATTTCCAAGGGCAAGACTGGATTTGGGAATGAGAGACCAGAGTTATGACAGGATTGGTTCTGAAGATTTGCTTCTAAACACCTCGCCTGCTGCAAGTTGGGGAAGGAGTATGTTTAGTAAAAAAACAGATTCTTAAGCCAGCTTTTATAATGGAAATGTCTTAACATGGTGCTTGATCCAGTGCTAAAAGTCTGTGTTTAATTTAATACTTTCTTAATGGCAAGCATTTTACCTGTTCCATGGCTGCCTGTGTGTGCCAGGTATGACTAACAAGTCGGGATCAGAAATTACCTAACAAAGCCAATCTTTTTGCCACCTTTTTCTTGTCAGCTGATTCTGACTCTCATCCTGACGCAGCAATGAGAGCACAGCCCTGAGGAGGTGTGTTTGTGCAGAGCCTGCATCTGTCCCCTGTTACTAAACACTAATTATTAAATTAATTACTGTAGCTCCTGCAGCAGCTACAGGAAAACAGAACTGTGGCGTTTGTTGTGGGTTTAATGGACATTTGCTTTTCTCACTTCCTCTGTTCTCAGGCTTATTGGCTTCATGGGAACTGCCATGGTAGATCAATCCATCTGCTCCCTGTCCCTGGCAAAACAATAGCTGGTAGCAAACACCCCAAAACCTGTGGCTGGTATGAAACACCCCAAAACACTTTTTTTTCCATGGGTTTGCCTTCAGTGACAGCAGATTCCCACTGGGTGACTTGGAAGAAAATTTGTTACTGTAGCAATATGTTCTATAAAGTAAATGTTATGATAAAAAATGCCAAACATTCCCAATTGTAGATCAGAACAAGGTCCCTGACACTCACCTCAGCTTAGGGTACTCCCTCCATCTACTTGCAAATGAACCACAGAACTGAACGTAGCAAAAAAAGGATGAAGTAGAATATTTTCATACTTGGATTGACTCTGTACTAGAATATCCCTGTACGGGCCATTGACCTTCCACTCAGACTCAATGATTCTGTTCTCACAGAACTTAGAATATTCTGTGAAATCTGTGAARTATGAAGTGATTTGCATCTGTTGAGTAGTTTTTCATTGACTTATGTGTTTTCWGTTTTTCTGACTTCAGAAGCCTTTATTTCCTTCCCTTGAGAAGCATAAAGCAGCAAGGTTAAGTAAAGAAGTCATTAAAAACTACATAATGAGACTTGATGGCATATGGTAAAACTTAAATCCTCTCTGTGTAGAAGGTATATTGAGAAATTCAAGGGAGAAATGGAAAGAAATTAAAGAATTTACCCGTAACGTTCGAGCCTTCAATTCACCTAACATGAGTGGGGCTGGCTCAGAGTACGTCTGTACGGAAGCCAATGGAAAATGCGTATCTTTTATTCTGTAAATAGGACACTGCCGACACTAATAGCTGTGTGTATCTAATATCCATGAGCTTGACTCGTGTGCTCCCACCCGCACGGTCACCTGGAGACACGGAGACACGACATGTAGTATATCCCGAAGGTCAAAAATAAATACAGGCTCTCTTTAACCCATGGAAACATGAAATGTTTCGGCAGCAGAGCGCTGTCCTCACACTGTCGAAAATTGACTGAGCTGTAAATCCCTGAGGCCCTCTAAGCCTCTCCCAGCGTCTCTTGGCCCCTCTCGACCCCCCACATTCCCTCACGGTCCCTTTTCGGACCCTCGCGCCCCCTCTCGTGCCCTCACATCACCTCCCGGCCCTTCACATCCCCTCTCGGCCCCTCACACTCCCTTTCAGCCCCTCACGATTCCTCAAGGCCCCTCACGCTCCCTTTCAGCCCCTCTCGGTCCCTTTCAGCCCCTGTCGGTCCCTTAAGGCCCCTCTCGGTCCCTTTCACCCCCTCTCGGTCCCTCTCGGCCCCTCTCGGTCCCTCAAGGCCCCTCACACTCCCTTTCAGCCCCTCACGATTCCTCAAGGCCCCTCACACTCCCTTTCAGCCCCTCACGATTCCTCAAGGCCCCTCACACTCCCTTTCAGCCCCTCACGATTCCTCAAGGCCCCTCACACTCCCTTTCAGCCCCTCACGATTCCTCAAGGCCCCTCACACTCCCTTTCAGCCCCTCWCGRTYCCTCAAGKCCCCTCACACTCCCTTTCAGCCCCTCWCGGTCCCTCAAGKCCCCTCACGCTCCCGCCTCAGCCCAGGAGCGGGGAGCGCCCCCGCCRCCAGATGGCGCCACAGCGYGCGCGGGCTGCCCGAGAGCGAGGTCCGCGATTGGTCCAGGCGGAGGGGGCGTGGCTAAGCGAAAAGCCCGCCCCAGAACGCGGCGAGGGGCGGGGCTCCCGGGGCTATTCCGGGCAGCCATTGGGCGATGCCGAAGTGGGGCGGGGCYAGGGCAGCGCGCGAAGGCTCGAAGCGGTCCCCGGGCGGCGGGAGCGCGGGCGGGATATGGCGGCGGTAGCAGTAACAACGGAGGGTTCCGCTGAGGTGAGTCTTGCCGCTTTCCTCCGTCCTGCATGGCCAGCCGGCGGCGGAGGCAGTTCGCTGCTGCCTGCGGCCTTGCGGCTCTTCTGGCTGTGGCGCGGTGGAAGGCCGGGAGGGATAGCAAGGGAGATGGCGGTTTCAGCAGCCATTTCGGCACAGTGCCGATACGGGTAGCGGTGCCGGTGGCGGTGCCAGTACACTCCAGCCACCCCTGCCCGCTGCCCTTGATCCTGGGCGATCCCGCGCCGTCACTGGGCTCGCCCCTCCTCGCAGACTACAGCTCCCAGCATGCCCCGCGCTCGCCCTGCCGSCCGCGGGGCACGCTGGGAAGGCCTCGCTCAGCCGGTGTCCGCGGGCGCGGTGCATGCCGGGAGCGCTKCTCGGCCCGTGTTGACGGGTCTGAACAAAAATCAATAAATAATAAAATAACGAATAAAAGCCGTTCAGTCTGAATACAATCACATCAGCCACTGCCCATTCTGTGCTTTTTCTGTGCAAACTCACCTTTAATTACTACCCTGTATGTCAATACCCATTTGCATTGATAAATATGGTAAATATCAATAATAATAAATATTATTAAAYGTAAATACCAATACCATRTTATTAAAYGTAAATAYCAATACCGATAGTTAAAATATGAGGAGACTGCCTGTGTGTTTCATGGTGTTTGAGAGCTTAGTCAAGGTTTTTGGATGAATTTGGATGCCAGGAGTCCGGACTACATAACCAATATTGACCCCAGTAAGAAAAATCATATTTTGCTTTGCAGATTCCGTTGGCAGATTTGAACCCAGACTTGGAGAAACCCCTGGACAGTGACTCTGACAGTGGCCAGGGCAGTTGTGAGACAGCCTCCCCAGGTCCCCTTGCCAAGGGYACAGCATCCTTCGAGGACAGAGGTCTGTAATATTTCTGTTATTTTTTTTTTATTCACTACTACATTTTTTGTTTCATAAATACCTTTTAAAAGGTTGTTGCCGCTTGCCCTGCAGGAATCCAAATTCTTTTTGTTGCTCAGAATGTAGGCAGGTGTCTTTAAACCTCTGAAAAGTGTCTTTTGAGCTATAGAAAGAAAAAGAGTAAATGGGGTATGTTTTAATTACTTACTCCCTTTCTTTTATGTGTTGTTTAGTCTATGTAGTGTGAGTTTTATTGCTATTTCAAGGCAAGTCCCTACCAGTGAAGGATTTTCAGCTTTGCCTTTTCTTTAAAGGTTAAAAAAGGATTAATTAAATGCTGCTCTCTGGGGAGAAGTGGGTTTTGAAAAGTTGAGTTCAAGCTGTTTTGCAGTAGATGGTGACATATGTGAAATTTAACGGATGTAAATTTGGTTGKTTGTTAATTCACTGGTGGCACTTTCCTTTTTTGTTTTCATGTGTTTTGCCAGATTCAGAGGAAGAGATTTTTGTGCGGAAAAAAGCAAAAAACAAGAAGGTRCTTCAGGACAGTGAGAGYGARGAGGAGGAGGAGGAAAGAGGCTCGTCTGTGCATGAAGATGTTTTGACTGGAGACAAGGAAAATGGGGAGGAAAAGGAGAATGTTGCTGCTGAGAAAAACAAGAAATCCCATCGGATCCGCCAGGCTCTGCTGGACAGTGATGACAGTGACACTGGTGACCARTTACAGATTGAAAACCTTGAAACARGCAGGACATCTGGCTTGCCTGAGGGAGAGCTGGAAGAGGAGAGACCCCTCAAATCTGGAAAAAAGTACAGAAGACATAAACATAAACACGATGTTGGTGAGGAGCCAGCAAAAGAAGCGATAGGAAAATCCAGAAGAAGGAAGGGGAAAGAGAAAATAATGGAGTCCATTAAACAGCTGAGAAAAGAAAAGAAGCCTGTGGCAGAGGTGGGTATTTTGGCAGAGACTGYCAGATAATTTCTTGATTAAGTTCAATTTATTATTGCTTGTGGTTATTCTGTTCCACATTCCTGCAGCAGGTGTGGGATCCACAGAGATCCATGGAACACCACACAAATCTAACCAGCAAAGTCTGCAGATTCATTTCAATTAGATGACATTACATTTGCAGTTTGAGGAATCACCAAACATAATGCTTGATGATTTAATGTCGTTTTGAGAATCAAAGGGACCTTCTGAAGGGAATCACACAAATAATTTATTCTTCTGAATGCAGGTGGATGGTGGTGAGAGGTTTCCCTTCAATGACAGTGGATGTCTTCTGGATGACAAGGAKCTCTTTGATAATGGCTTGGAAGAGGAGAATGATAAACCCCCTGAGGATGAAGAGTCCATAGAAGCCATACGAGCAGCTGTGAAAAGCAAAATAAAAAAATACAAGGTAMCAGTTGACTGCCATACAACATTGCTGTAACCCTACTCCTTTCGAAGTGATAAAAAACAGGTTTAGATCAGATATTGGGAAGAAGTTGTTCCCTGTGAGGGTGGGGAGGTCCTGGCACAGTTACCCAGAGATGCTGTGGCTGCCCCTGGATCCCTGGAAGTGTCCAAGGACAGACTGGATGGGGCTTGGAACACCCTGGGACAGTGGAAAGTGTTCCTGCACAGGGCATGGGGTGGGACTGAATGATCTTTAAGGTCTCTTGCAACCCAAATTACTGGATTTAGTGGGAATTTGTAGCTGAACAGGTTCTAAAACTCTTTGACCATGATGGAATTGTAGTGCTGTGGCAGAGAAGAGCCTTCTGGTTTTTGTTTTTAAAGATGGAGGGATGTTGTCCTGGCAAGTTAAGAAGGTAATGCAGGAGAAGGAGCTTTGGAAATTTGCCCTTGTGTGGGGTTTGTGGTGATTTATGGTGATTTACTTGCTGGCTTTGCTGACCAGTGGTGGTTCTGTACACTTATTTTTGATGTGTTTGCCCTTGATAATGCCAGTGTATGGAGAGAAATTGAATTTCTTCTTATGCCCCACAGAACAAAGAACATTTTCCTGAGGGTGAAGGCTACAAACATGTATTTGATGAGGAGAATGAGGAGCCTGTATTAAAGGAGCCAAAAAGGAAGGTGAAGTTTTTTTCTTTTTAAAACTCTATATTATTTTTTGTCATGACTAAAATGATTTTGTGTGCAGTGTCCAATAGTTTTGCTGATTTGGTATTTTAATTTTTTTTTTAATGCATGCTTTGTTTTGACTCCTTTCTGCTTGAAAGGGAAAAATAAGCTATTTAAGAAGTAGAGTGAGAGTCCCATGTTTTGTTTGTTGACTTCAGAAGTTTTTCTTTTCTTCCTTTAAGGAGCGGAAAGCAGCAAGATTAAGTAAAGAAGCCATTAAACAGCTACATAGTGAGACCCAACGACTCATTAGAGGTATAACTTAAGTTTTTTATCTGTAGAGGGGTATAAACTATTCAGAAATTCAGGGGAGAAATGGAAGGAATTTACTGAAAAGGTTACAGCTTTCTTTGATCTACCACGACTTATTCATTTTTATTGAAGGACCTGTTAAAGGTATTTTGTAACTAATGAAAATAAAGATAATTGTTATCAAATACAGGGCTCAGATGATGTTTTAAATTTTCTCTCACCATCTTTCTCTGGCAGAATCATCAGTGTCTCTCCCATATCATGTGCCTGAGGCCAAAACTGTTCACGACTTCTTCAAGCGCAGACCTCGACCAGCATGTCAAGGAAATGCCATGGCCCTGCTAAAGTAAGGACTTCAACCTTCCTCATACAATTTTTTCATAAACTTTAGTATCTCTTAATTTTGTTTTGAGGATAACCAGACTTTCTTAGACTCCTTTAATTCCGTAGAAGTAGGAAATTAGGAGATTGTCATTGCTAACATAAGGCAATGCTGCACCCTGGCACAGTTGTATTGTTGAAGTGATCAGGGCCAGGAGTAACTCAGATGAARKAATTTGCTGATGCAGAGTTACTTTAATGGTATTTAGGCTGGACCCCAGCATTTTTCTTGGATTGTTTCTTCTCTGAGTAATGTGTGGTAAAATACTGAAGCTACAGTAGTCACAAAATCCCTTAGGAATTTCATACTCTGATACTGTAAATACTTTTGCACTTCCTTAAGTTTTCACGATGAAGTTTTCCAGATTTTTGTCCTTCATGTCCTCCTACACATTAATGACAATAATTCTTCTCAACCTCATCTCCCTTTCACACTAGCCATAGGTGATATATTTTTTTCTGCTTTTGTTAGGTCCTCTAAATACCAGCTACCTCTAAATGAAGAATCTGCAGCCACTGGAAACTTGAGCAAGGATTGCAAAGATGGGCCAGTGAAAAGTGATCAATCAGCAGCTGCTGAACCAGAAATGAACCTTGCCAAAGATGTTGATGCTGCTGTGACTGAAGAAGTAGGGAAGAACTTGCCAGAGGACTGTGCTGAGCAGCCCAGGCAGGACCAGGAGGATTCTCATGCTACAGTCACAGGGACTGTAACAACTGATGGTAACACAGAGGAACAGCCACCCTCCCATTGCCTGAGCACTGACTGTGATGAGCATAAAGAGAGTGAAATTCCTCCAGCACCTGGTGATGCCCTCGTGCAAGGAGGGGAAACACAGCCAGACATACAGAGTGAAACAAGCAGTCAACAAGTGGGGCCTGGACTGGTGGCACAGCCTGAAAAAGTGAGGAAATCCAAGCTGGATAAACTTCGTGAACTGGGAATAGATGTGTCCATCAAGCCAAGAATCTGCTCTGACAATGAATCCTTCATTACCCTTGATGAAGCTGAACCAAATAAAGGTATCACTTGTGTGTAGTCTTAAGCAGTGTTGATCTGAGCTTAGCTGGAAAATCTGAGAAATATTTAGGTAATAGAACTGTCAGGTACATTCACTTGTGTGGATTCTTTGAGACATGTTAACAGAAATTTAGAATTGCCTGGTGGCTGGGAGGTTGGACTGGAAGAGAATTGAGATCTTGTGGATAAATGATAGTCAGTGGTATGCTAAGTTTATATCAGCTAATATCAATTAAATACAAACTACAGCAAACATATTCTGTAGTGGTTTATTATTAGTCAAATAGAAAGGTTTTGCAAATATTTTAGTATGAAAGATTTAGCTTTTAAACTACCTTTGGGAGCAATAAAAGCTCAAGACCTACTCTTGCTACAACTTTTAACAATCGGTGTTTTTACATGCTCTGCATTAATTTAATTAATATGTATTTAAAGAGCTAGAAGCCCTGAAAGCACGTTTCTTGAAGCACACTCTCCAGACGTCGAAATCCAAAGCAGAACGGGCCATAAACATGAACATTATCCGTAAAGAAACAACATCTGATGGGAAGGAGGAGCTGAGAGCAGATGTGGTGCCAGCAGTTTTGGCTGCAGAGAGCCTGGAGGAAACTGTCCACACAAAACCAGGTTGGTGGGGGAGAAGGAGAGATGAGGATTTAACTGGAAAACGGTTTGGTCTCTATTTTCCTTACAGGTGATGGGATTTTCGTCTGTGAGATTACTGTTTGTTCCCTCTAATGGATAGCCCTGTTTTAATAATAAAATCTTGGTAGATCACTTAAATAGCAGTAGTGTGTGTAGGACAGCCTTGATCTCTGTGACTGATGCTTGGATTTTTCATACTTCCATRAGAAGTTGTGGCTGYCCCATCCCTGGAAGTGTCCAAGGCYRGGTTGGACGTGKTTTGGAGCAAMCTGTGATAGGGGAAGGTGTCCCTGCCCATAGCAGTGGTGGGATTGGGTAAACTTTAATGTCCCTTCCAAGCAAAACCTTTGCTTGAATCTTTTCCTGTGCAGGTGAAAAGCTCCAAGCCCTGAAAGCCAAGCTCCAGGAGGCCATGAAGCTCCGCAGGAGCGAGGAGCGCCAGAAGCGGCAAGCGCTGTTCAAACTGGACAATGAGGAGATGCTGGAGGAAGAGGAGGAAGAGGAGGAGGAGGAAGAGATGACAGACGAATCCGAGGAGGAGGAAGAAGAAGAAGAAGGTGATCACGAGGTCTGTATGCAACATTTTTCCATAACCTTGTCAGCTTCTCCATTCTGCTTTGTCTCCCCAGGGGAATGTGACTTTTGTGCAGTATTTATTAGGGAAATTGCTAAGAATCCTTCCTAGAGGCTAAAAAATTGCTCTAATTGGCATGTTCAGGGTTTGGGTTGTCTAACTTGGAATTTATTAGTATTTTCTTTATTTCTCTAGCATCATTAAACCCACATATAATACATACAAATGTATTGTACATATAAGTGTATAAAAGATTCTGATGCCCCTTTCCCTTTTTATAAATCCTTGGCTCATTGCTGGCAGGGCCTAACAGGTAACGTGGGATAGGGTTTGCCATGGTAATAATTATCGTATGTTATGTGTTTGGGGATGTTTTTTAGAATTCAGAATTTCTGCTTGATGAAGCAGAGGAAGATAATGAAGATGCAGAAGAGAAACATGTTGAAGATGGTGATAAAGAAACCGACAAAGAATCAATTGATGGAGAAAAGCTGGAGAAACCTGGGCACTGTGATTCTGTTCTAAAAAATCCTTCAACAGAGTCTACATTGATACTTTTTAAGGACAGCTCCTCAAAAATGGGGTAAATAACCCAAGCCTTAAAAATGGTGACTGAGCAATTTTAAATTTGATCAGCACATTTAGGTGTTTTTATTTAAAGTGCCTTTTGTAAGTATTTTTGTGTTACCTTGGTTTTTTTGCAATTCATCCTGAATTTATTAGCAAGTGTTTTTTATTTAATGAATTGCAGATATTCTCTTCCTGATGAGAAACTGGAAATGGAAGAAACTGCAGACAAAGGACCTACCAAGTTAGGTAAAGTAGAATTATTGTCCTAGATATTCTTGTCTTACTTGGTGCATGTATGAGTTTCTGTTTGAGACTGGTATTCAGTATTTCTGTTACTTCATCACTGGTATAGTTAGAGAGTGTGATTATAAAAGTTCAGCGTGATGAAAAAAATGGAAGGGCTTGAAAAAAACTAGAGGATAATAAAGTTCAAAATAATACTGGAAGAAATATGAAATGTCAGAAATCTGTAAGATGAAATTCAGTAAAAAGCATAATATGCATCCTGTGAGAGGAAAGAAATCCAGCATGATGACAAAATGAATTTTTAGCCAGCTGCCAGTGTTGCAAGATATTATATTGAGGTTTTATTGGATCACAGACAAACAAAAAGTTAAACACTATTTTTTTTTCCAGAGGATGATGATTCATTTTCTCTACCAACACTGGCAAAGGAGAACAGCCACAACAGCAGCTTTGAGTTCATTGGCTCCATGATTCCATCCTACCAGCCCTGTAACAAACAGGCCTCACGGGGAGGGAGCTTCTTACCTGCAGCAGGAGGGTTCAGGTCACCCTCCCCAGGTTTCTTCAGAACAAGCTTTATCAGCTCTGCTTCCAAGGTGAGATTCTCAGCCCTGCTCCTGTCCTGTATCAACACACTGGGTAGTGAATAAATGTATTTCATCCTGATGGTCAGAGCTGTCAGAAAAAAAACAGACAAATGCTTTGATACGAGTAAGATTTCAGAAGAGCAAACTGTCTCTGGAGTTTGTGTCCACATTGTAATGGATAAAAATTACGTTGTAAAACTTGTATTCTAAAGTACCCAAGAAAAGATGCTATAATCTGGCATTTGTATAAAAAATATGTGCTTCATAAATATGGTTTTTAAGAATGCCTACATRGRCTACACAACTTCTGATATCAGTGAGTTCYTGTGGTTTATTGGAGCAGCATGGACATAACTTGACTGCTGCATGATTTGGGTTGAAAGGAACCTCCAAAATCACCTCATCCCAACCCCTGCCATGGCAGGGACACCTTCCCCTATCCCAGCTTGCCCCAAACCCCGTCCAGTATGGCCTTGAGCACTTTCAGGGATRGGGCARCCACAGTTTYTCTGGGAAGYCTGTTCCAGTGCCTCCTGCATTTGAATTTAGTCTTGCTAAACATCTGTTATATTTTTATCTTCCTTTAACTAGAGCTCAGGAAAGACCTCTGAGCCTTCTCTTCCCATAGAAGATTCCCAGGACCTATATAATGCCTCTCCTGAGCCCAAAAGTTTGTTTCCAGGGGCTGGGGAGTCAAGGTTTCAATTTTCCCTGGAAGATGACACTCAGAGCCAGCTGCTTGATGCAGATGGGTGAGTGATGGGTGTAAAGGATGGTGTTTTGTGCCTGTTAACAGAAACAGGATGTGCAGAACAGCAAATTTTTTTAACTGCAGCTTTTCTTTCAGGTTCTTGAATGTTGGACACCACAGGAATAAATACCAGTCCTCAAAGCATCAGCTACCACTGGCTAGCATGGATGAGAATGCCATGGATGCCAACATGGATGAGTTACTGGATCTGTGTTCTGGACAGTTCAACAGCCAAGCTGAGCACGTGCCAAACACCAGCAGTGCCAAAAAGCAGAACATGGAGGAGCTGCTCAATCTTTGCTCAGGAAAATTTGTGTCTCAGAGTATGTCTTGAATTCTTTTTCCAGCTTTTCTGGTTACTTGATTTAGAAATTTTTTGCTTCAGGTCTAGGCACTGATGCTATGTATAGAATTTTGTCTTTGTTGGGAACATGCACAATGTTGTTTTTAGGATATTCTCTGTCACTTTAAAAGCAGAAATAAGTTGTCATCTTATTGCTTTCTGTAGCAGGTTCTCCAACATGGGCCTCTTCAGTGTCTTCCAAAGCAGAAAAAGACAGTGACATGGAAGATCCAATGGCAGAGGCTTTGGAGCTCTGTTCAGGCTCCTTTCCCACAGACAGGTTAGCACTGCTTTCCTAAAATATACAAAAGTTTATTTTGGTGGTTGTCTCCTTTCACTCTCAAAGTGTTTTCTTGTTTGGCATCAATTTGCTGTCTATAAAAGTGTGCTTTGTTTTGGAGGTGAAGGGGAAGAATATTGCAAATTGCTCAGCAATTACTCTCTAATTGGCAGCATAAATTGTTTCCCATGGCTACTGTGAAGGGAAATTTTTTGTCTTTCACTGATAGTGAAAGAAACAGTGAGGAACTTCCATTAAACTGAGAAAAGATGATGAAAAGTGGGACTTTCAGAGTCTGTTCTGGGCTGTTGCCAAACTGCAGTAACCAAGTGTAAAGTGGGATATTTGGAGTTTTTTATTGACTAAATTGAAAAGTGTATGGCTGCGTGACAAAAGGATAATAAGGCTTAACAAGTAGGAATGTTAGGGGGATCTGAGAGGAATTTGAGAGTGGGAAAAAAATTGGAAATTGGTACTTATCCCATGGTTTCTGCAAGTGGAGACCTGAGATCTTAAAACATTAACACTGATGGGGATTTGGGCATTTGGAGCTAAATGCTACTGGGAGATTGTAGCTCTGAGCACTCATGGGGAATTGCCTGAGAGCAGCTGATGTGGGTGTTGGATTTTTGCCTTGATTTACTGGAGGTAAAATGAAAATGCCTTTCTCCCATTTATATTTTCCCCAGGGAAGAGGAAGAGGAAGAGGAGGAGGAACAAGAAGAACTTGGTGGTTTTCAGCTTTTAACAGATGATGAGGCCCTTGCAAGTGAAGAGGTGTGAACTGATGGAGCCAGGCAGCTGCTGGATAAAATGGGATAATTCCATTTATCTTCCTAGGTTTTTAATATATCTACCAATGCAAAGTACCACAACTTCCATAACAAGCTACTGAAACATTTTTCAGAGCAAACTTTGGATCACTTAAAAGGTCTTCTTCATGTAATAACACAGTGAAAAATGCAAATCCTCTGAAATAATGCCTGGTGGTTTAGTGTGTTGTTAATTGAAAAACAGACCAATCTGTTGTTACAAAGCAACCCACTCTCAGAAATTCTTTATTTCTGAAAACTTTCTCTTTGACAGGATGAAAAAGGTGAAGATAGTGCTGCTGAAGAAGCAGAAATAAGTGATGAAGAGGAAAAACTGCTGAGACGTAGACCAGGCTCAAAGAAAAAACTGTAATTTTTAAAAATCCTAATTAGCAGAGAGAATAGAATATTGATAGCACTGGAAATTTAGTTTGGAATTATTCCCTCTCCAGCATTAGTAGCTGATGTTTAAATGGTTTGGTTTTTCATATGTCTCTGTTTTTTTATTTTGGTGGTGTCACGTTGCATAAGTTTAATTGTATTGCTTGTGGGTTATAGATGAATCTATAATTTTCATTATAGATGGAAATCAAAAAGCAGTGCAACCTTTTTTTTTTACCAAAAAAAGGGATGCAAGAATATTGTTGTCATTCTTCATGTCTTAAGATTTTAATTGTTCTAGCAAGTAAAACACAGAAATTACAGTTATTGCCAGCATCTTTGGCAAGGAATCTGGTGGATGACAATGATTTGGGGTGGTACATGGTGTCAGGCTGTGTCTGTAAATGTGCAAGAACTCAAGGCTTGGTCCTTCCAAAAATTACTTGAGGAGTTACGATACATCCTTAGGAAATGGGTTAATTTTATATTAAAAGATGAATCTTGCTTTCTGAAGATTTATCTGATGCCTGTTTTGCTTCCAGACTGAACTTTTTCAACTTATTTTCATAGAAAACTGCAGGATTTCATGGAAGATGAGGCAGAGCTGTCGGGGAGTGATGTGGGCAGTGAGGATGAGTACGACAGCGAAGACCTGAACGAATACGAAGAAGAGATTATTGATGAGGAGCTCCCAAATGACGTGGAATTAGGAAACCAAATACAGAAATTCCACATGTCAGTGACACTATCAGTAAATATTTGTGTTTTTTAGGCCTGGCTCTGGGGGATAACTTGGCCTAACCTGTTTTCTGTGCTGCCAGGAAGGCGATGTTGGATGATGACAAACGCCAGCTGCGCCTGTACCAGGAGCGGTACCTGCTGGATGGGGACCTGCACAACGATGGCCCTGGCAGGACCAGGAGGTTCAGATGGAAAAACATAGGTGATCTATGATCCAGAGTTAATAGAGGGAGGGGAAAGATTGGAAACAGAGTGTTTGTGTGTAAGAAATAACACTCAGTAATTAATTTTTTAGATGGAAAAACATAGGTGACCTATGATGCAGAGTTAAAAAATTGGGGGGAAAGATTGGAACCAGGGAAAGATTGGAAACAGAGCTTGTGTGTGTGAGAAATAACACTCAGTAATTAATTTTTTAGATGGAAAAACATAGGTGATCTATGATCCAGTTAATAAAGGAGGGGAAAGATTGGAAACACAGTGTGTGTGTGGGAAATAGCATTCAGTCCTTAATGGTCCTAAATAAAATACTCAGGAACAAACTAGGGGGAGGATGATTCTGGATGTTTTAGTTTGCTTAGGTTTTTTTTTTTTTTGCTTTGTCTGATTGGTTTTTGGGTTTGGGTTTTTTTGTTGTTTTTTACCAGCCTACATTTTCAAAATTGATAGCTAACTGTCTTGTTCTGTTGCCCAGATTTTGCTTCACAGATGGACCTGTTTCAGAGAGATTCAGATAACGATGAGGAGAATGAAGAGTTTGATGATACAGAAGTGAAGTGGAGGAAGGAGAGGTTTGAGCGAGAGCAGTGGCTCCGTGAGCAGGTACTGGTGAGCTGCCAGAAAGGCTTGCTCAGTCTCTGTTCCATTGCTGGTTGTGAAATTGTTTATTTCTCAAGTTAAATTTCAGTATTAGGTCAGATTTCTCAGCTGAACATGATGCTGTTCAGTAATAGAACAAGGATTATAAGACATCCGAGAAATTGCAACAACTTCTTACAGGAGAAAGTAGATAAATTATGGTTTACATAAAGAAAATTGCTCTACTTAAAATACTGAAAGAAGTGTCCATTTTTAACATGAATTCTTTCAATTTTACGAAGTGTCTTCTCTCTGCTACAGAAGGAAAAAAATAAAGAGCAAGAAGAGGAAGAGGAAGAAATTGCTGCAGACAGCGAATTCATGAAACTGGCAAAAAAAGTGACTGTCAAGTCCCTGCAGAAGAAAGGTGAGCTTGATTTTTATTGAAGTGACAAGGAAATAAGAGAGAGAAAGGGTTCAAAAACTGATCTTTTCCCCCATGTCTTTGCAGCCAACCCAGCAGTGGTGGCACAAGAGCCAACTCTGTTACCCAGGAACCCATTTGAAGCCTTCAGACCTGCCAGTGACATCCAGGTGGGTAACAATCCTCAAAAATGGCATTTCCCAGCACAGCAAAGTCAGCTGCCCCTGAATTCTGGGCTGTCCTGGTTTGTGTTGTAGTGACATGTGAGTAGGGAGGAGATTTTTTTACAGAGTAACTTACTAAGAGAGCTGTCTTGTTCCTGTGAGTGGTTTAATGAAGCTTTTCTTTGCCTTTTAGATAAAAAATGGGTCACTCTTGAACAGGCCTAAAGCTGTCCTTCAGAAACTGGCAGCAATGTCAGATCTTAATCCAAATGCCCCTCGAAATTCAAGGAATTTTGTCTTTCATACACTTTCCCCAGAGAAGAGTGAAGAGGCAAAGGAGAAATCAAAACCTCAGGTAAAGATTTGGGTGGCCAGTGGTGGAGATTATTTGAATATACAGGCACTGAACTCTGCCAAGTAGTTGTAGCACTGCTGTCTTAAATATTCCCTATGTGCTCTCACACCAAATAATTCTCTCATTACTCAGAATTTAACATTTTTTTGGTCATGATGTGTATTCTAATATATTTGACTCCCCTCAGGTGAAGAAGAGAGGTCCTTCTGCAGTGACAACATCAGTGGCAAAGAGGCCCAGGGTCGAAAGCTCAGAAGAAACCAGTCAGAGCCGAAGCATTTTCCAGTACTTGGAGAGCTGAATATTTTTGTTTGGGGCCAAAGGTTGTGTCTCCTCTTTG